TACCTAATACTCCAAGCCAAAAAGAGAAATGAGTTAGAAAAATGCATGATTCCTAACTATGCAATATGCAATTACTAGACTCGGCTACTAATATGGAAAATGAAGCAATTAAACGGCATGCTGTCTAAGCACATATTCAAATAAGGATTCAATCTAACAATGCAAGTTAGAATGATGAACTGAGCCTTGATGTATGCAAGACAAATGAATGCAAACATGAAGAATGCTAATTGAAACGTGATGTCCCTAAACTAACCATCGTAAGCTAGTAAATAAAAGGGAGAAAGACGTGGGGTTGGAAGACAAACACATTATTATAACATTACGCCCTCACACAGGAGGGTCCGAATGAACCAACTAGCTAACTACTTAAAGCTAAACTAATTATTATAAAACAAATTAATTTAGCTAAACTACTTAACTAATTATTACAACAACAAATGAATTAATTAACTAACTATTCTAGTTAATCAAATTGCAACCTACAACTAATTAATTACAATAAATATTTAAGCTAAATATTTAAACTAAACAGTCTCGATATGCGAGAAATGCTCATGCACATGCTCGATTTTCGCCCGAAAAGGCCACTGTTTTGCTTCCAGGAGGTCTTTGTTGCACAGTATAACACTTATACTTTTGTCCACCTCCAGAATAGCACTGCTCTGCTCAAAAAACACACTATTGGATTTTGCATTAGTGGTCGGCCGGCCAGGAGTGATGGCCTGTTGGCTATGGAAGGTGACCTGCCGACCACTACTGCAGGGTTCATCTTGCTACAACAGAGAACAAACAGAGCATGCGCAGGGTATTCTCAAGGGTTGTCTGCACAACTAACCCCTCCTTATCACGAACAAATCAAAGGAGGGACAAAACTTGGTCCACAAACCACCAACTCAAGCAATTTCATTGCATGATGGCTTATGAACCAAAATGTGCAAGTTCAATAAATGTAACAAAACAAGACTCAAACCTCCTCCCTTTCATGAATTGATCAAGGGAAGTGTTGAACTTGGAAACTTGAACCATTTCATCACTAATGAGTACGAAATGCTTCAAGCTTCCATGTGTTCAATTAATGTCCGATTGAACACAAAACCAATTATTATCTTGCACCATTTTAGTCCTATTTTAATTACTTCATTTTAATTACCAGCCATCCTTTAATTCATTGAGTCTAATGCTAAGTTTAAGTCCTCTGATGGATAGAGGGTTCAAACCAAGTGTTTTTTTAGGCATAAAAGAGACATCATACCGTTGGTAATGAACCCCAAAGAGATTAAACCATTAAGCATGACATCTTAATCTCATGCTTAAACAAACAAGTTGGTTGAAACCATTTTCAAAGCAAAACAAAAGCCAAGAAAGGAGGGAGATTGCAGAGATGATTAAGAGTGATTACAAGTATGGAAAGCCATAAATAAACACAATCAACTCAAATAAGATGGTGTCTAAGGCCTAAAACATCAAACTCATGAGGACAATTACGCTATAAGCATGCAAAATAAAGCTCAAATACAACAAACACTTAAAGATAGTCCTAAAATAGTCTAAAAAGAGTCCTAAAATAGTCTAAAAAAAGTCCTAAAATAGCTAGATTAATATGCTAAAATATGAAGCATGCTAGACTAGTAAGCAAAACACAAGGAGGGGAGGCTAACCCCTCTAATTTTGGACTTCAAACCATGATTTTAGCCACTGAAATAGCTCTTAAAATCAGTGTTTAGAAGCTCAAAAAAGATAGTGTAAAGGTGGGAAACACAAGGGTAAAGGCCTTGGAAGTTAGGTAGAAGGAATGGTGAGCCACCCCTCCACCCTTATTGGACTTAAGCCACAAATTTTAGCCCAAAATTTCAGAGTTTAGACAGTCCAAAAATAGTACAAAAATGTGCTGGAATGAAGACAAAAGTAGCTAAAATAATAAGCTAAAACATGGAGCAATTTAAGCTAGTAAACAAGTCAAAGGAGGGGTGGCTAACCCCTCAATTTTTGGGACTTCAAAATCACTTTTTTAGCCTCTGAAAACCTCTAAAAATCAGTGGTAAAAAGCTCCAAAAAAAGTTGATGAAAGAATGGGAAACACAAGTGTAAAGGCTTAGGAAACAAGATATAAAGAAGGGCGGTTAACCAATCTACCTTTAATAGCCTTAAACCACAAGCTTCAGTCCATAAAAATAGTCCAGAAATGGTTCAAAAATAGCAAGAAAAGATGGGAGAGTAGTGTAGAGATACTTAAAATTATACCTCTTAAAGCAAGGTTGCTCTTTTGTTCACAAACCAACAAATTCTCACTCTCAATGGCTGAAATTTGGACTCAATAATCTCAACAAGAAGAACTCCAATATTGGTTTAGGAAGTGTACAAATAGGGTGTATAGGTTGCAATATAGAGATAGAGAGAGAGAGAGGATTTCAAGTTTTGGCCCTTAAGAATTTTTTTGTAACCTTAAATCATGAAGGAAGGCCCCCTATATATAGAAAAACAGCCCCTCAGGTCGAAAATATCAAGCTTGGAACAACTGGAGCTTTTGGGGGACAACTGACCAAAAATATCTGTGTTTTTCACCAATGGCCGGCAGGCCAAAAGTGTGAATTGCCGGCCACCAAAAATCTGTTTCTAGGCCCGACTTCAAACAAGCATATCTCCTTCATCCAGACACGATTTTAGGTCATTCTTAAGTCTAAATTGAAGCCCCGGAAGTCTAATTTTCAATGGTGGCAGCGTCACATATAAATTCTAAGTGTGCAAAGAGATATGCCTATTTTAGTGAAAGTTGTTCATTTCTATCTTAATCGGATTGATGCCTAACTTCAAATGGCCATATCTCCCTCATCCGGACTCGACTTAGGAGATTCTTGGGTCTAAATTGAAACCACAGAAGTCCACTTTCCAATGGTGGTGGCCTCATAACTAAAGTCTAAGTGTGCAAAGAGATAGGCCTGATTTAGTGAAGGCTGCTCAGTTCTCTCTTATCGGTTTGATGCCCAACTTCTTCCCCAACTAGTTTTTTTCCCTCTCCTCAAATTTTCTTCAACTCCAAACCTCTAAATAAGATGTTTTAAATATTTTTCAAAGAGTTCACCTCTCTTCCATTTATTTCCACTTTGTCCTTACTCGATTTACTGAAAAGTGCAACTTTTAACGAAATGCGAGCCTCAGAACATCGTAGAAACATTTTCAAAAATATTTTGAAAGAGAGGGTTTTAAGGTCTAAAATAGTTTTGGTCAAAATAGGGGTGTAAGGTTGGGATTTAGAAGCTCTTCTTGCTAAAGAAATCGAACATTTATACAGCATACCTTTCATTATCGAATAATCAACCTGAGGCGCCCAAGTCTTAAGGGCAGTCAAAAATGAGGTGTCTACAGTAAGACCACGCGAAATTGAAATCTTTTAATAAAGCGACTAAACGCTCACACTCCTCCGAAGACAACGTGGACCTAATTTGGACCAAACACGGATCTTTCTCAGTACCCACATTAATAGCAATGATTTCATCAGCACAGGGTTTTGTAAACCTCTCATTCTCTCAATTAATCAAGTTTTTCAAAACCAGAGGAATTCCTTCCTTTTTGTTTTCATTAAAATTTAGAAAATCTTGGTCAATATAATAAATAAACGGCACAGAGAAATACTCAACCTCGGCAGCGTTCTCATTTATAAGGTCCAGCTCTTCAATTACAACCGATTCAAAAGAAAAAGAAAAAGAGGACCAGGACAAGACCTTGGCATCCGGGTTACCAGCCCCAGGAATACCAGACTTAGACTCAGAAGAACCAGAATCTGATTCCGAATCCACAGACTCAGTGAAATCAGATTCTAGCTCATCACCCAACTTAGAACTAGACAGATAGCCTTCCTCCAGCTGCTAGAAAAAAGATGGTGCCTCTGATGCATCCAAAATGCTGCTGGATGGGTTTACACCTGATTCTTCCCTGATCATAGAGATGGTAAGGTTATCTCCCAAGTTCTCTGAGACAGCTGCAAGATCTATAAAGAGACAAGTCAGTGCTGCCCCTACTCCGAGTTCGCTGCTGTCTGAGTCACTTTCCATGCTTAATTCAGCTTCAGTACTTGGTTCAGCCTTTTTCTCGATATCACTATCTTGCAACTGTAGATCAAAGAAGATTTCGAACCCAGGGACACCCTGCTTCATGGAATTCATCCAGGGCTCGAGAAAGTCGTAAAAGGGGAAATCCTCTTCCTCCCGGATCTCACTCTTTTTTATATTTTAATTTTTTTTTAAACATTTTGTCAATTACCAAATGCGTTTGTAGTTTATGTTTTTCTAAAAATAAACAAAAAATAAACAAAAACTAGTTTATAAAATTTTTGTAAATATAAACTGAAAACGTAAACGTTACCAAACAAACCCTAGATATATAATAATATAATACAAACAACTATAATACACTACATATATAATAATACTAGTGGGTGGCACACACGATGTGTGTGCAATTTAAATAAGTAGGAATAAAAAAAATAATAATGAAATTAATATTATAATGTGTACTTAGCTTAAGTGGTATGAGTCCTCGTACTTAAACCCATGGTCATGGGTTCAAGCCTTGCCCATCTCTTTGTTTAACTTTTTTTTTTAAAATAAAAAATACTGCCACATGGCATGAGGAGAGTAAAGTTTTAGGACACCATAAGTGGTGTTCACTTTATAATAGTATATATATATATAGATAGATAATACAACTAAACACTAACACATGTACATAACACTAACACAAGTGCATAGCGGCGATGTTGGGGGGAAATTTCAGGCCGGGGCCGGGCCTGGGGCCCAAGAGTCTATCTTCATTCCTGGCCCGAATTTGTTCGAGGATTGATTTTTGAATATCATTCTCATATTGTTGGGAGTATTTTTTGAGGAAAACTCGCTCAATTCAGAGTTGAAGGGTCAGGTCTCCATCGGACCGGATTCAAATTGCCATCCCTAATTAAAAGAAAAAAAACATTGTAATCGGGAACGGGGTCGGTTCCTTCAGGCCGGGTTTAAGAACGTGCCCCACTGAACTGACTCACCCGAGATGCCAAAACCCTAAGCTAAAAACCCTTGAATCCTTCTCATGTTTCTGTCTCTCTCTCTGCACTTCATTTCCCTCGAGGCTTCGATCTGAAGACCAGAGAGATGAAAATGGGAAGTAGAAGAAGAGGCGGTGGCGGCGGTGGCGGTTCGCCGTCGAAACGAGTCCTCTGCCGCCGCATCGAGTCCTGCAAGAGCAATCACGCCACCGTCGACGAACTCGTCGCCAACCTCCGCATGAACTTTCCCGAGTACGGTCGACACAAGCTTCAACCTTTCACCAGAACCGTTCAACAGACCCTAGAACACCACATGAAGTCCAAGAAAACCATCAAATCAAGCAGTCTAGGCCGTCCTTCAACATCAAATCACCACGAATACCAAGATAATCATCGTCCCGCTCGTAAGAAGATGAAGATAATAGATGCGAGTGACGAGAGGTTGCAGCAATTGGAGAATCAGCACATTCGGAGGAATCAAAGGGGCCAGTCCACATCGGAGTCGGAGTCGGCAGATGGGACAGACGGTGCGGTTTCGACCTCCGAAGATGCGGTTTACGGGGAGAAATTCGAGCCGGAGTTCGATTTGATGAAGTCGATGCTGCGTGATATGTACAGCGAATCGAAGGATGCCAGTAAATTGAAGAATGTGGAATTGGAGGTTGTTAATAATAATAATAATAAGGTTACTAAGAAGGTTGACTTGTTTGGAGGTGATAGTGGTTTTGGGAAAAGAGATGCAAAAGGTTTTAGTGGTGGTGGTGAGGAGGAGGAGGTGAAGGGTAAGGATGGGCTGAGATTTAGGGACTTGGGTGGGATGGAAGGAGTTGTGGAGGAGTTAAAGATGGAGGTGATTGTTCCACTCTACCATCCTCAGTTGCCAAGGTGGCTTGGGGTGAGGCCGATGGCCGGGATTTTGTTGCACGGGCCGCCGGGGTGTGGAAAGACTAAACTGGCTCATGCCATTGCTAATGAGACCGGAGTTCCATTCTATAAGATTTCAGCTACTGAATTGGTCTCTGGTATTTCAGGTACTAATTGATTTTTTTGCTTAGATATTTATGAACTATGTAATGTTTTTTCAACTTAAGTTTTTATATGGAAATGCTATGTATTTAATTGTTTGATTGTGTAATTATGAACCGCCTGTATTTGAATGCGTCACAGGAATGGATTGTTAAGCCACCACTGTTCCATTAAATGATTAAAATTATCAAATAAAACACACACACACACATATTTGTATACTTTAATGTTTCAGGACTCTCTTATATATCGCTGTACATTTTTTCCCCAGTTTTGATTGGTAGTTTTATATATTTGGCATTTCAAGCAATGGCATACTTAAATGTTTGGCAGAGGATTATATGGTTTTAGGATATGGAGTCTTCACTAAGTGAATCAGGCTGATATCAGGATTGTGTTAAATTAGTTAAACACAGCTAACCATTTCTGCAAACTTGATTTATAGGGCTAAGAAGAAGGTGACACCACCGACGTGACATTCGTCGGACACTTTTTAATACTTAAACACACAAGAAACACACTTATACATGACATATAATAAACATATAGAATTATATATCTTATATCTGTTCTCCATGTGTTGCATTCTATATTTTTTTTGAAAATTTACTTGTTGGCGTGTCAGTCGTGCAAGTGTCGTGTTACATGTCCGTGCCTATGTTTCTTAGCCCTCATCCATACTCACCTTATTGAACTCAAAAGGGTGCCTCAAGTGATTCATCCCAGACTTCAGCACTTCCATTCGAGACATTGTCTTCTTCCATTGAAAGCCTGACATATTCTCTATGTGCAAACCGGTCCCATTCTGTCAAAGTTGGAGCCTCCCGCTCCTGCTTACCACAAAAATTGCAAACAGGTGGTCATAATGCCAGAGAAAAAAAACAACGTTGCATTTCCCAGTGTGGCCATGCAATATCAAAGAACACCAACTTGCTGAATATACCTGGCGAATGAGATATGGATCACGAGTTTCAAAAGCCATGAACTTGTTAAGATTGAAAAGAATATTTAAAACGTTTCCTGCAAGTTTGCACCCTTTCAAATCACGTAGTGTGACGAAACCTTCTTTCTGCAACCAAAATAGTGTCAATGATAGGCAAGAAATCTCTAACCAGTATATATGAAATAAGAGGTTGACAATTAAAGAATAACTTGTGACCTCAGGTTGAATCATGTCAACTATCTGACACAATATGTCCTCAAACAGTATAGGTTCTTGGGCCATGCATTCCATTCGGTGCAACTGTTCCTCATAAAAGAACTGCATTTCATTTGCTGTGATCACACCATTTCCGTCCAAATCTATGCACTTGAACCTAAAATATACAGACAGATCATATAATCAGTTGAGCAAATTGACAACACAACAAATAAATCTCATCCATTAAAATAAATAAATAAAAGGTTTGGCTTGTTCTAATGCCTGGCCCAAGTGCAGAACTCTAGGAAAGTGCCACAAAGCTTGGTCATGAATAACTTCCAAGGTCAAGGCCCAATGACTTGCCAGTAAGGCTGTAAATGAACCGAGCCATTCGTGAACAGGCACAAACTCGCCTCGGTAAGAGCTCGCTCAAACTTAGTTCGTTAAAATTTTTTTGCATTCAACCTTGAGCTCGAGCTCGTTAAAATTTTAATAGGCAAGCCCAAACATACAAAAGTTCGGCTCGTTAGTTAGCTCGTTTAACATTTAATATTTATATATTAAATAATGTAAAAACATGTAAAAAAAAATAAGATAAATATGTTAATTATATATTTAAAAACTATAAATGTAAATAATAGCTAACTATAGATAATACATTTATATAATAGTGATGGTAGATATTATTGTTTTGGTAAAATATTAATTTTTTTTAGCATGTTTATATATATTTTATATATAAATGTATAAACAAAGTTTTAATTGTAACTTTAGCCTCATACGCAAATATGAATTTATAATTTTTTTGGCTCATTAAGACTCGTGAACAGGCTCGAGCTCGATTTAAGCCTAAGCCCACTCGGTTCGAGCTAAATTCATTAAATTTTTGTTGAGCTCGAGCTCGTTAAAATTTTAATAGGCAAGCCCAAACATACAAAAGTTCGGCTCGTTAGTTAGCTCGTTTAACATTTAATATTTATATATTAAATAATGTAAAAACATGTAAAAAAAAATAAGATAAATATGTT